TGAGGGGTTTGGCTAATTATCTTTCATACTTGTCCTGCTACTTTTGCCCGAGTGTATACGTGTGTGTGTTAGCGTCTATACGCAATACCAGTCCTACATCAGAATTATCAAATGGTTAAAGTTAGGCCCTGATCATCAATGCCTAATTACCTCAAAGAAAGCCTTGACCGAGACTGCGTAAGTCCGTAAGCAAGTATGATTGAGATAATGGGATATGAGCTTGTAAGCATATAAGTTAAGTTACGAAACCATTTGTCCTTCTTTTTGAAGGCGGCTCAACACCCTCGCTCTTTCAATCTATCAATCAAGCATAAGTAATTCCTACTCAACTTTCTACCACCGTTCCTCACATTTAACGCATTTCCTGAGCTATTAATTTCAATAGCCTCTTTTATCTTTCTTTTATACACAGACGTACCGTAATCAGCAAACCTACTAGTTTGAGACCATTTCATTTCATGTCCTGTTTCTACCATTTGTTCGGCCACTTCTGACCATTGGATCCAGCTACCTTTGCAAGCATTTTTGTGTTCTACCAATCTTTGAAGGTCACCCTAACAATGTTATCTCAGGAGATTTATCGAAACCAAGTTTCTCTTCGTATCTACGAAGTTAAACAACTTCTATGCATAATATTGCTTGTACGTAGGATCTCTAGACTACTAGCTGATCTTACATAAGTGCTGTATTTACTATAAAGACTAGTAGTTAAATTTTAACACAATATTATTCATAGGCTTTACGCTTCCATTGAATTTCACGTATCTTTGCTTCTAAAATCAGTCCTTCATTGCCTTTAACGAAATAGGGTTAATACAGCTTTGACACATAACCTGCTGATAGTCTCACACACATGCCTACAGACCAAAATAAATGCTATGATCGATTTCAATATAACATACGACTTTCCTTCAACAATCCCACTACACAAATGCCTAATTCGTATAATTTATTTTCTTTCAGGATTGCTCTTATTCTTTTATGCATTGCAAATTTGGCTTAACTGCTTTGTAAAGTTTATGTTCCTGCGATTCAAATCCTCTGGATTGTCATATTATTTGGAGTTCTCGATTATTTGGTTACAATCCGTCCTGACCACACATTTTGCCATTCTGAATCAATATTACTGTTGTATATTTATAAAAACTGTTGATTCTTACAATCGATGTACATACACCATTCTTCTTCTGAATCCCATGCTCTGAATCCCACGGTCTGAATTCAGTTATTGGATGATTGCTGTAATGCATCGCAACATTATTAATGCTATTATTATTATTTGAAATTTTCCCTTTGTTTTTTTGACAGATTTGCAGTTCCAAGATATATCTTTGCAATCTCCGTCTTCTTCCCATCTGGATGACGTGATTGCTGGTGTTGTTTCGGACGCAGTTGCCTACGCAGACAATCAGAATCTCCGGCAGCCTTCCCCTAAAAACATTTCAAAAGAGGCGCCATCGGCCCGGGAAATTGCCCAATCATCATCGAATATTCATTCCTTTTCTATTTCTTTAACTTCGATTACAAATCAGGCCAATAAGTCGTCTAGACCGTCAATTTCTTTGCTTTCTAATGACGTGGCCTCCACCCTCGTGGATCCTTTAGTGCTCGAATCTTCACTCTTTGACTCAACTAATACTTCTCTTTATCAATCAGCTCCACGTACATCTCTTGCAGCCAGCTTTATACCCTCTGTTCAACCATTCCAACTATCTTCATCTGATTTATTATCATCAGGAGAGACAAATAAAGCAGTCGAAGGTACAATGCTACTTGATTGTTCAGCTGGTAGGAGGGATCGAAAATCTTCGGGCAGTCGGCTTCTAATCGTAGAGTCGCTTCGCTCTCATACAACTCATTCCTCTCCTTGTTCATCACAATTATCATCATCATTTCTGCCTGGAAGAGAGAGTAATTTATGTTCTTCTATATCCTCCATCAGTAATCACACTCTATCAAACATTGCTACCTGTTCTGTATCTGAATCGGTACGTTCTGACTCTTTACCTATCCCTGAAACATCTTCATTCTACAATCAGCTTGGAGCCACAGATCTGAAAGATTCTTCCAAAAGGGATTCGCCCGTCATAATGACCCCTTCATCTTCATTTACTTCATCCTCTTTTTCATCCTCTTCTCCTATCTCTGCTCCTACTATTGCTATTTCCGCCATCTCTACCTCCCCATCTTCCTCCTCATCTTCATCTTCCCATTCTTCCTCTTCCTCTTCCCCTGCCTCTCCAGTCGCACTTTCCATATTATCCTACGGAGTTCAGCAACCTGCCTCCGATTTAATCCCTTTTGTGACCCAGACTTGTACGACTGTTTCTAGACCAGATGCGATGTCGCTAGAAGCTAGTGACGCAGTTTTCTGGTCACGGCAGGAGACGGCTTCTCATTCACCCACTTTGCTGGAGACCACCGTTTGCAATGACCAGAGGGATGAGTCTTCGGAATGCGCAAGCTTTTTCACGGGTGGGTTAGATTTTATACTAATCTATATATATCGCTGTTTAAGGGTGTATTCTATTAATTTTGCACATAATCTGTCCACTAATGTAAATTTATTGGCTTATTTGCATAAAGGGATGAATTTCTTCTCCGAATTGAGAGAATATTTATTTGGATTTGAGGTACTATAGTGCAACTGGCAATTTGCTGGATTATTCACAGGTCTCTTTCTGTCATTAAACTTTTGGCACGTAAGATCCTTCATGAGATAATATTTCCTGGTCCTTCCTTAAACACACAGCGTATATATCTATGCGATGTGCACCATGGTGTTTTCTCCTAATATGGCGACTCAACAGTCAAAATCGTATTTGTCCTGTTATAGAGAATTGGTTTAAACTACTTGATGAGCAAATCTTTTGACTAACCGATAGTTTATAAATTAGTCTAGGTACACTTACTAGACCCTTATTTGAATGCGGCAATTCACACTTTTAATCTCAGAGTCCAATCGAAGGAATGAAGACCAAGGTATATAGTCACGATCTCATTTTTTATATAGACGTCGTTTGACCTTGTTTTCGCAACTTAACCATTTTGGCAGGAAGACATAGAGGAACGCACCTTGTCCGGAGTTCAAAGTATACATGATAATTTCCAGAGTCGGATCGTGGACTTGGTACATTCTTAGGCATCGTCAGTCTGTATCGTAATTGAGCTTTTTCATTCTTAACTCTGCTCCACGAATCGTCAAAAGATACAAGTGAAGTCGGTCCTGTGACTGATTGTCTGCTAGACGGTTGTATCTCTCCCTAAACTGTTAGTCTTTAAGTGACCCTTTATGATCTATGGTAATTATTTTCTTTTTCATGTTTTACATAAAACATTTTTTTGGTTCGCACACAATACTGCTACACTGCCCACAGAGGCATTTCTTTATCTATGATGAACTCCTCCCAAATTTACCTATTTGTTGGAAGAAGTTTTTGAATAGTTCTAACCTAACCTGAAAAGTTTTGTATCTATCTCTACTAATATTGTTTACTTTTCGAATACCGGAGTGATTTGGCAACCACCTTTATAATATATAATGGAGCTATAATTTTTTGTATGAAGAATTATGGCTACATATAGTATAAATGACAAAGTTTTCCAAATGCTTTTTATCTATAATGGTTCGCGAATGTTTGGGAAATATATACGATATAGGCCAAAATGTTCATTACTTTAAGTTTCGTAATTTCCGTTGCCATTGTTTATATTGCTAAAATCTACCGTTTGATTCTCCTTTTAAGGTGCGTTTAGCCTTAATAGCCTCTACTATAATTTCTGGAGCTTTTAGAAACTCTTCCTTTTTCAAAATTTATAAAAATATTGATACCTTTTTGATAGTCTTCTTAAAAAAGCTACTATTATTGATCTTTTTTGGACAGAAAAACCCAGCGCTCAACTTCAAGCTTAATTTGTAGTGTAAGCCATTTGACTACTTGAACAGGGGAATTTTAATGCGGATTACGCTTCCTGTTTATTAAATTTGATTATTTACTTTCTATTTTATTCCCTAACTAAACAATCTGGGACGATAAGCTATATTTGTTCGTTGCCCATAATGACAATTTTATTCGTATTAATATCAACCCCATGCTACTATCGTTAAAATGTCCCTTTTTACTTTGAATATTTTAGACTATTCATCTGGTGCTGGTATTTTGGGTGGTGAAGTCCAAATTGACATT